TTTTTTATAGGATAAGGGTGACAAACGAGCACACAGTCCACCTGATGGTAAGTGGTTGCTGCGGCCCATAGACATCTACATCTATTCTCTATTACAAATTAAAATGTAGATGTGTTGTCACCCGTGAGGACTAAGATGGAATGCCTCATTTGCAGTAAAAAGGGCCTCCGGCCACCTGCACTCACCAAGCGAAACGCAGAGGTAAACCTCTACTTCACGCTGGTATTCTGTGAGGTCGTGGTACCACCCCGGTTCGAGCCGGCCCATCCGTGCGACAGCTAAAGCTGCCGCGTGGCTCTGCCACTGTTAAAGTCTTGAGGTTGAACTCTAAACTGAAAAACAAAGGTGAAATTGTAAACAATAATTTATATAGCTTCTATATGTAGCTTCTAGCAAATCTACGGGTAGTTTATATACATTCATAATATCACCAAGAAAATATTTGAGCCTTTATGGAGAAACAGGTTAAGGAAAAGAATGGCGTATTAAAACGTCTAATTCACTTAGATTCTTTCTTAGATTGATCTTTGAAGGCAAATTTTGAAATTCTCTTAACATATAAGCAAATCATGGATATATGCATCCTTTTCTAACATGTGCCGCACAAACTTATTCTTTCAGGAAGATTTATAGACCATGGCATCCTTTTGGCTCATGGCTTGACTTTGATAAACATAATACTTAAAGATTTCAATTAACAGATCAAATCATACACTCAAGGCTGGTTTCTAGCAATAAAATAACCGATACCGCTATGAAAGCTACAATAACCGTAGACTTGAAACTTTTAAACTAAAGGCTTGACCAATACGCATCGATACGAACTCACTACAGCTTGGTGTCTGCTCTCTTAGTATGGATTCGTTTGATTTCGATTGAAAAATTAAAAACAAACAAAGTGAAGGAACAAATGGACAATATATCTGAACCTGACTCACGAGAAGACAGACAAAATATAGGAGGCGACCAGTTCGTTCCGAACTTAAATGTAGAAGACGGTTCTCACTGAGAGGATCTCTCTATCAAAATTACCCACATTGTCCACTGCTTCCTTTCCCTTGTTTTTTAAGATTCAGTCCTTTAATAATACTTTTTAATATAAATATTACGTATAGAATATAAGCCGCTTTCGTTTGTCACAAATTACTTACGTTCATCTCAAAAAAAAAGTATAATATTTTTGCTCAGACAATATACACAAATCCCACAACCGTTAAATACCATAATACACTTGGTCATAAATCGTCCACATTATTATCTTAATCATCCCATAAAAAGCTGCGTCATATGAAGTGTAGCACTTGAATAGAGTATACGCCTAGATATAAGCAAACAAGGATTAAACGTTTACAGTATACCTAATGAAATATACTAAACATCGTGCCTCCAATACACATTGGAAACAAAGTCATTTACTACCGCTCAGTGCAATCTGGCGTTAGACGTGGCAACTTGTCTTACGCTATATTTTACTTACTGAAATATAAATCAAAAATTTTAAAATGAGAAAAACTTAATAAAACATTCGCTGGAAGCTATTTGGATGTACCGTGTCAATTCAATTACGTACGCCGAGAGCTTCAGTATCATTTGTAAGATTAGGGCAATGAAAAAAATTTGCAGAAGAAAGTCTAGCAAGCGCATTACAGACAGGTACGTGTGTTTTACTTTTATATCAAATTCATTTACTTCTCACTTAAAATAATAATCTCTAATGCAATAAAATATTTAATTAAATTTATTCCGTTTCTTTTTATTTTAAATCATTGTGTATACTTTGACATATTTTACATAACTACATGTCAACCACAACAACTTTATTTTTAAAACATAGGCATTTCATAAGGGCCTTTCTAAAAATGCACCAGTTGATATGCACTATAGAATAGTTCTAGTCCATTATCTTACTTTTAAAATTTACCAAAATATTCCTATAAAATTGTATAAGAACACAGAGTAATGGCGTCATAGTCTTTTATAGTCAGATTTTCTTTGCGTGTTTTAAATCCAAAAATGGAATAGCAACTTTTAAGACACCAGTAAAAGTAGCAAATTGAAATCATATGCGTATTAAATTACTTTATACTTTATTAATAAAAAATGTCAATTGCCAATTATCACACTAGGCAGGCGCATTGACGAACACTGAACACAGGTTCGTCAACCCGCTACGCTTAATGTCTTCACACGATATATCGATAGTTTATGCCATAACCTTGTAGTGGCAATTTAATAATATCCACTATTCCATATCTTCCCGCGGATGTCGCAAGAGGCGACAAACGGAAACTGTGGCAGAATATGGGCAGCAGCATGTTTCTGATAACAGTAAAATAACAATTAAAAACTGTGGCTGCCAACCGGCTCGCCAAGCGTGGCAGCTATGGCAATATAGCTCCAATGGCGAGAGTTACAAAGAAACGGCCCCAAGTTCTCCGCGCCTCCGCTATTCCTGTCTTCCGGGTAGGGTATACTTAGAATCTCCAGTGAAGGTTTGGTTGCCACTTACTACGACTCATTAACGTGGTATAGCCATGCTGCAGCTATATCAATATTATATTTGTAGCACGAATGGGTCGGCTCGACCGGGGAAGGACCATGCTCTCACAGAATACCAGCGTAAAAAAGCAGCTTAATGCTGCTGTGTTTCGTATGGTGAGTGTAGAGAACCGGAGACCCTTTTTACTGGAAAAGAGGCATTCCATCTTAGTCCTCACGGGTGACAACGCATCTGCATTTTGATTCGTAATCGAGGATAGATGTAGATGTCTATGGGCCACAGGAACCACTTACTATCAGGTGGACTGTGTGCTCGTTTGTCACCCTAATTCTATAAAAAAAACTTAACCTGGCAACATTTAATGCATGCATCCTGAAGACTGACGAGAAGATTCTGGAGCTGGAAAAAGAGATAGACATGTTACGGTGGGATATTATAGGATTATCTGAGGTCCGAAAAGAGGAGGAGGACACAGTAATCCTTAAATCCGGCAACTTGTTCTGTCACCTGGAGGGTGACGGTCTGTCCCAAGGAGGTGTTGGATTTATCGTCCACAAGTATCTTGTTAATAACGGTGTAAAGATTGGAAGGGTTACGTACCTAATACTCAGAGTCGCTAAACGGTATTAATTGAAGGTCGTACATACAGATTTACGCAGCAACCTCAGCATGCCCTATTGAGAAGGTGGAGAAAATGCATGAGAATATCTCTAGAGCCATGCATTCCTGCAAAACCTACTAGACGATGTTAATGGGAGACTTCAACGCAAAACTAGGTACAACAGAGAACAGTGAGTTGAAGGTTGGGAAATTCGGGATAGGACAACGGAACCTAAGTGGCTAGCAACTGGCTGACTTCATTTAGAAAGAGGTACTTTTATGATGAACTCTTTCTTCCAGAAGCGGGCCCTCAGAAAGTGGATCTGGTCTAGCCCCGATACTTTAAAAATAATGAGATTGTCTTCATTATGACGACTGTTCACGTCAACTGTTCAGTGTTGTCAAAGTAATCGCGAGGTTGAAAACTGGCAGCGATCACCGAGTGGTGAGAGGCATATTGAAACCAAACTTTAAGTTGAAGAGTCTAATGAAGTCCACACTCCGTACCCCTCGTCTTCTAATCCAAAGCCATCCAAGCGATCCAACTGCAGAGAGTTATAAGACAGTGTAACGTTATATCCCCGAAACTCTTCAGGACTACACATTGGAAGACGTTTTAAGCTAAAGGAAAGGACTACAGTACACTACAGTACAGTCACTCACCTTCGATTTTCCGACGATATAGTCCTTATGGCAGAATCGCTGGAGGACCTATGCACTATGCTCATTTACCTCAATAGGATCTCCTAACGGATAGATCTTAAAATAAACATGGACAAAACAGAGGCCATGTGTAACGTCCATATCACACTTATGCCAGTACTTGTTTTGAATACTACGCTCGAAGTTGTTGGCGAGTATGTTTGTGTAATTTATGTATGAATGTACCTAGGACAAATAGTCTGACTAGATAACCAACTCCGACCGAGAAGTCAATCGACGGATTCAACTCGGCTGGGCCGCGTTCAGAAGAATGCGACACATCTACTCGTCAGGTATACCTCAAAACTTGAAAACAAGATTGTACAACCAGTGCGTGTTGCCCGTGATGACACTGCTGGCCGTATGAGGAAGCTCAAGGTCACTTAACGAGCCTTGGAGAGAGCTATGCTCGGGGTTTGTCTGCGTGATAGACTTAAAATGAGAATATTTGTAATAGAACCAAAGTAACCGACATAGCCCAACGGATAAGTAAGCTGAAGTGGCAATGGGCCTGCCATATAGCTCTACGAACCGACAGCCTATGGGGAAAAAAGGTTCTCGAGTGGCATCCGATAGACGAAGTAGACGAAGTGTAGGGCAGCCCCCTACTAGACGGAGTGACGACCTGTAAGACATGCAGAAAATCGATGAATGCAGGTGGTTAAGGACCGTGCATTGTGGCATTCCTTGAGGCATAAGCTTAGCAGTGGACTTGTGAAGGACTGTAATGAATTAATGAAAATGCAATCAGTCTATCGCTAGAGCCTAGTGCTTCAACCAGCAAGATATATTGGGGTAGATGAGGTTGTAACTTGAAGAAACAGTAAGCATATTATCCCACAAAATCACATGTGATAATCATGTTAAATAACCTCAGGAATTTTATTGTTTTTGATAGTGTAAGATTTATCTTAAAAGTATATCAATATTAAAAAGGAAATAAGACATAAAGAAACAAATTTAAATAAAAGTCGCGTATGTTTAAAATAAAACGGCCTCATGTGTCGTGTTAGTTTTGTTATAGTATAGATAGACGATATTTTTTTTATTTGAAGTTATATTCGCCAATTATTTACACTGAATGAATGAATGCAAGCTGATAGCTAATAGCCATAAGATAGTGTGTGATGACTATGATAGTGTATAGTGTTCTTTCTACATAGGTACATTTTCGCAAAATAATATCATCGATTTATAGATGAGTCCGGGCAAACGCAGTCCTCTATCGGAAGCGGTCGACGGTCGTTCAAACTTGACAGTCGCCGACATGGATACAGTGCACGAAGAAAATGACGACAGGTAAAAGTATTGTTCACTTTCTTATTAGGCTAGGCATGTTAAACTTAAAATAATTATTCAAAGTCTATAGGATCATATTGTAGGGAATAACAATAGCATTTTTTAATCTCTTTGATCATTAATGTTCATTATGAGAGGATATTTGTTATAATTGTTTAAAATGTGGTTCTCATAGTTTGTTATAAAACTGTCACGTGAACAATGAAACAAACTATACTAGACTTAGAATTTAATTAAAGTTGGTTTTGAATTATATTTTCTTTGTCTTTGCTCGTAACTCAGTTTTATCTCTCATATCTCGTAAGGGTCGTTGCAAAGACAAAAATATTTTTACTCACAATTATGCAATTTCTAAACTTCAATATTATATTATACCTACGCTATAAATATTATATATATTACAATTTTATTTTACGTTATATTTACGGGTGTAAAGGGGACGGGGTTCTCTGACGGAAGTTGCTGTGTCAACAGAAAGATGGCTTAAAACACTTCCAAAATGCGGAATCACAAATCCCATTGAATAAACAGCATTACAGCGCTATGCCATAGACCTTGACCAATCAGCCTGGGAGTCTGGGCAACTCATTAAAGAAATGCATACCAATTAGCACTTTCTTAAAAGACCTATGCGCAACTGTGGACTAAAATAGGCAGAAATAGAAAAAGAAAATATTAAGGATATACTTGTAGTGATATTTTGTCATTTCATCCAAGTGTATTCTGAAATGGGAAACATAATTTTACGTTTGTTCATTTTTCAAATGTCTTCATTTATTTTATGTGTAATTACATTAGACAAAATTGATTAAATTTTATTAATAACTTTCACAATCGACTCCATCCCCACTTATCATCTGGTGGGGTAGTAGTCAAGCACTAGCTTATAATAGTAAGTAATTTAAAATTAAAAATTTTGTACAACCGACTTCAATATGAATTATTAAGAATAACTCAAAAACTGTTGGTCACACTATGATCAAATTTATATGGGACCACATGTGAAGCACCAGCTTTCAAATAAAAAAGAATCATCGAAATCGGTTAACTCAGTAAAAAGTTATGAGGTATGAATTGAGTACCGGCTCCTTTTTGAAGTCGGTAGAAAAGGAGTCCTACCATCTAATAAATATATAGGTTTTTACAATCCATTACAACGTTTATAATACAAGGTCCCTAATATGTTGCGGATGCAAAGATACAATAGTTTTCTGCTTAGGTTTTCTGTTACGGACGGCAAAAGAAAATCTTAATATTTCTATAAATTATAATATTCATAATAGTAAATAAATCGCGTAACCCTTTTAAATTTATCTGGTGAACAAAAATAACATTTGAATTTGAAAGTGATATAAACCAAAACAATGAGAGAAACATGAATTACTAGCGTAGCAAGATAAGAAAAAGTGCGAGGGAGATATTATTCCACCTTGCTTCCTTAAAGCCGCCAAGGCCGTCTACACTACGTCAGAAGGATCATGACGGAAAAATCTTACACTTTTTCTCGATAAAAAACTTCGTTCCAAAAACTACAAACCGAATTCAAATTAAAAAAAAAACAATTTTCACATAATAGGGCTTTTATTCTTCGATACACTGTGTCTTAGCACCGAAGCTATTATGTAGAAATTATTTTATATGAAAAACTAAAATTCTTAAGTAGGTTTGTAAATTTTATTAAAATTTTGTTATTACCAAATATAAGCCGTAACAATATTGAATTAACCACCATGTACAGATAAAAATTTCCGTGTGATATCGATGTAAGAAAATCCATCACGCCTTTATTTCGTACCGTAGGTATCATCTGGTGCTACAACCATAGCAAAAACAGAAAGCATGGCAGATTGATTCCAAGCCTTGACTGCAACAATCTCCCATTGATGCCATGATGTATCAACGGAAGAAGCCTATGTCAAGTAAAATAACTGTTGCGGGCAGATAAAGAATAAAGAAAAAAACGGAAGTCACATTGTCAAATAGCGAAACAAAACATTTAATTTATTTATAAAAAACTCCTTAACCAATAGAAGGCAAATTATTATTTCTTCATGGTCCATAATTCACAATTCCACTACTAAACATAGGCCTCCCCAAGGAATACCACAAAGCACAGACCCTCATATTATTAATTACATAAAACAAATTTATTCGTCAACTGTGAATCAAATTAAATTAGTTTGTGTCAACTGGCACAAACTATAAGCAAAATTGTAGTAATACCAGTAATACCCTTGACAAATAAATTAATGAAAGTCTTGATAATTTTAATATTTTTACTGTCAACACATGTCTATATGAAATTCATGGATGGCGATAGTGGTGTGGTGTATATGGATATAACGACCGCTTACCACCCATTTCTGGTACAAAACAAAACAACAAAAATGTACCAAGTTCGCCATAATGTGCTGTCTGAGACAAAAAACTTTCAAGTATTGTTAAATATAGTAATTTATATTGTTAAATAAAGTACGAACGGTGTACTAGGCATAAACCCCAACCAAGACTTATAACCCAGTATTTAGCTAAACAGAAATCTTTGTTTTTAACAATACACATCATATTGAACGTCCGTACCACGCGAATATATAAAATATAACGTTGTTTTTAAAAATTTAAATAACATGAAGCTAAAATAAATGTATGGTAAATTATGTGGAAAAGAAAATATATATTTGTTATATTTACGTATCGGATAGATGCGCGGATACAACGAAGCTTAGGGAGACATTTCCGCCAAACGGATGCACATTTTGGAGATTTTGCGCTCAAAGCGGCGAAGTCGAAATAGTTCAATACAACTGTACTTCAGTAGAAAATCTTCTATGAATATAAAATTCACAGGTCGTTTCGTGTAATGATTGAGTTGCTACTTACACGGTTTTTTTACGACACTGCCAAATATGCTTTAGACACTACTGAGATATATGAAGCTATTATGATATTCTGTTTAAAAGTTCACTACCTTTACTCTCGTAGCTGTATTCTCTTAGGTTTTATTTTTATTGATTTTTACTAAAAATCAGCGTTGTGGTGTCTAGGGATTGCAATCCATCAAAGTGGGGTACCGCAATCCAGCGGGATCCAGCATAATTTCAGAAACTGCATCAGATCACATAAATTTATTCAAATTTACATTTGAAACTGATGAAGTGAAAGGGAAGAATTTTTGACTTTATTAGGGAAGTATTTGATTTGATGTTACAAGGCTATTTATTAACTATTAAATCAAGAAGTGTGGAGGCAGAAAGATCCTTTTCGGTCGTTGGTTGCGTTTACATATATGTACTAGTTCTATAAGAAGTAGATTGAGAGATAACACTATTGATACTATATGTTTTTAAAAGAGATACATATTTGTTAAAAGAGATAATATTGATATTTATAAATTTGTTACATTTTTTGATGGATTCTTTACTTTAGTAAGAAAAATGAAGACAATTAAGTACACTTAACCTAAATTCATATAATGCTCTAAATCTCTGAATAAATAAGACTGATTATAATTACCTCAGATACAGATTAGAAGTAATATCTTTAGTTAACTAGAGTACAAAAACTACAAAATTACCAAAAACCTATATTTTTTATTGTTTTTGAATTTTTTATCAATATATAAGTAGTGAAACAGTAAGATAATTAGTAATTAGATGCAGTAAGATATTGTTGATTTTTATAATTGATAAACAGTTTTTTTCTTTTTCAGTTTTCTAATTGGTAATTAATAAACATTTAATTATATATGGTATAATTAAATGTTTATTAAAAATTAAAACAAAGAATATTAATTTAAATAAAAAAAACTATAACCTTATATAGATTAATGTCAATCTAGCAAAAATCCCGCTGGATTGAAAACAGTGCTGAATTGCAATCCCTAGTGTCAGTGACTCCACAGCTCAAGCTGAGTAATGACTGTTTTTGGCACGCCCTAAAGCCAAATTTATTTAATTTCGTTTATTGTCATACATCAGTATATTGTTGTATATCAATTTTTCTGTGCTTCTTTCTTTCTTTCTTTTCATGATATAATATATAAAGCGCTATACAATTTTCTTTCTTAGTATTTTATTTTCGATTTTAAATATTCCTACGTTCTTACGAAGCTAAAACAACCCACGATTTCGAAACACTCTGTAACAAAGAGAGAAGTATGAAATGCATACGCAAAGAGGGATTTTGCAGCAGTAACGCCAGTAAAGCTAAGAAAATATTTATGATGTATGATAGACTGCTTTGTGTCGCCCAATCTACCTTCCTCTCGTCTATTTTATACGTAGACCGGTTCTTTTAGGATCATTCAAGAACTTTTATAGATCATTCAGTTTGTAATATATAGTCTTCATCAGTTCGTAACAGTTCACTATTGGACGTGGCGGCAGTAACGTAGCAAGGGGCGTGTGGCAGTAAAAAAACTCAAAAGATTATGTAAGTAACTTTTGATTAAATTATTACGAACACATCATATCATGGAAAGTTCTGGCCATATAAAAAGAAGATTAATTTTTTTTATCATTTTGATTAGTGTACAAAACTAAAAAGGTTTTTACCAATTTAAAAAAAATATTTTTATGATACTTAATTTTTCTACCCACTTCAAAAAGGAGCCGGTACTCAATTCGACTGTATGTTTTTTTATGTGTGTTACCTCATAACTTCTTACTGGGCGAACCGATTTCGATGATTATTTTTTTATTTGAAAGCTGGTGCTTTCCATGTAGTCCCATATAAATTTGATTAAGGTTTGGCCAATAGTTTTTGAGTTATTTTTAAAAGTCTATATTGAAGTCGGTTGTACAAAATTTTTAATTTTTAATTATAGCTCTAGCAACTCCGGATGGCAGCATCCCACGCTGCACCACTGCATGGTAGGTTGACTGGTATTTGCAAAAATCGCATCACCAAATATCCGACACATATGATGCCGTTCCTTGTCACTGTCTTGAGTATATTTGATAAGTAACAAACGTATCCTATTTGACCACGTCTTTTAAATT